CCCCAAAACCCCAAAACCCCAAAACCCCAAAACCCCGTAATTTTTCGGGTTGTTGAATAATTTATTGTGTTTTTGCAGCTCTTATAGCCCGGTTTTGGTTTATGTAGTTCACTATATGTCTCGAGATTGGGCTATTCGCTAAGAAATATCTATATGCATGGATGTAATGGCCTATAAGAGTAAAGGGATAGCATACCGTGTGACTCTGTGTCATGCCCAAGCTTGTCTAAAGCTCCTCTAGCATGTTGGTCTGGGTCAATTGCGAATAATAGTTTTCCAGAATTCATGTTTGTTTTTACATCAGAGGTTTTTATTGTGGTTACATCTAGTTTATCCTTATATTCTTCAGCTATTGAATTTGCAAACTGAAGTACAAATGCTTTCGTAGCACTATATACAGCTAAATTTGGATAAGGCGATTCATTCACTCAGCTACCCACAAAAATGACGCCTGATTTTCCATTATTAAGTAATTTAGGTGTGAATATTTTCTGAACAACAGTAGTAGCAGTAATGTTGACATTGATCAAGCTGTGAATTTTATGATCATCCATTTCTCCGAATTTGCCGTATCCTCCAACTCCAACATTGTTAACAAGGATGGATACTTTTTCAATATGCTTACATAAGGTTTCGAATTCTTTTATCTTCTCAGGAGTATAGTGGGTATTGAAATCAAAGCATAAAGTATCAAATTTTCTGTTTTCATATCTGTTTTCTTCACAAAACTGTTCAAGTTCTTTCTTTGTGACAAGAAGTTTTTGTTGATCCCTTGCGATTATTAGTACGTTCATACCTCTACGAACAAGCTCGAATGAGATGCCTTTCCCGATCCCAGCTGTAGCTCCTGTGACAACTGCCCAATTATTGCCGTAAAGTGTTTGGAGATCCTTCGCAGGTCTCAGAGTGTATTGGTACAACGCTCTTATGCTTTTGCATACTTTCAGAGTTGAGATTCCAAGCCCGATAGCAGCAAATGTGTAGAGAGTCAGAGGGTTCTTTTCAAGGAACTCCTTCATTGATGTTTTAAAGTGGTCATAGCTTTCTCAAAGATTTTCCATCATAGTTTTAGTTCAAAATTTTATTAATTAAAGGGGTTTTGGGGTTTTGGGGTTTTGGGGTTTTGGGG